AGATTCCGAGGTTCATGTCGGAGGAAGGGAGGGACTTTTTGCGCCGGTGTTTGATCAGACACCCAGAAGAACGGTGGTCTGTTGGTGAACTTCTGAAACACCCTTTTGTTCGCGAGCAGAAATCTTGTTCGAAGCAGAATTCAAGAACACCGACGAGTATCTTGGAACAAGGATTCTGGGACACCATAAACGACTCGGAAACGCTTCAAACTCCGACCAGACCAAAAATTTACAGAACGCCATTGCAGAGAATACAGCAACTGAGTGAAGTGTGCAAAATTCAGTCTTTTGGGATACCCAATTGGGAGTCCGAGTGCGACGAAAATTGGGAAACAGTAAGAAGCAGAGAAAAAAGCGATTGCGTTAATGGATCGGAATTGCCCTGTTCCTCTGAATCCATGGCAATGGCAACTGAAATTGGAATTGGTAATTGGAACTATGTTAGTATTAGCATTAGTAGAAGCAGTAATTGTAGCAATAAAATCAGTAAGGCCAAGAAGAGGGACTTGCCAATGACCTCTGTTTGCAATGTAACATTGAAAACTATTGATTTTTCTTATGATGAGAAATTATGTATTGTCATTTCTTTGTTTCTTGTCTTTGCTCCTTGTATCGATATTGAATTATTTGATCTTTATAAAAATATTGACGAAAATTTCAACATAGAAAATGTATAGTAAGATGTGAAGTGTATATTTAATTTGGTGAAGAAAGCTTCGTAGTGCATGAAAACCTTACAGTTGAAAAACTGAAGTGTTAAGTCCATCTTCAATAATGACACTGATCTTACTCATTAAAAGATAACATTCAAAACTTGTTTTCAAAATGTTAACTTAGCAGCAAAGCCAAGCCGACAATAATGTTAGTAAAGTTTTTTCACTGCTAAAGTAGTCAAAGCCGACAATAATGATGCTCATGCTCTGCACAAATTGTCCATATTCTAGATCTGGGCTTCCTTTGGTTTGCTGCTGTTCTCTGGTCTCCACATTGAACAGTAATAAGCTTTTCCATCAAAATGATCCTGTTTATAGTTAGCTGGGTAAGTTGTGTAAATCATTTGGACTGGACATTATTTTTCTTACAAACAACTCTGTTACACTTAATTTCATTTTTAAATTTCTAATCTCATGCTTCCAAGGACCAAGGCAGAGGAGTAAGCCCTCTAAATTTGAATCAAGTGTTATGTCCTAAGAATGAGTTTTGCAGATGCCACATTCTTCATGGTTGAAGCAAAAGATATTTATATCAAGAAAAAAGAAACAGCTACAGAAGAATGACAGAAGTGAAGGTGTTTTTTCCATTACAAACCTGAATTTATCACAATTTTTTTTCAGCGTAGATTCCATTCTTGTTTCACTGTTTTTGCTTCTACTTTAATTATAAACAACACACCAAAACCCTATCTTCCCTTGCCATTGTGCATATAGAAGTAAACAGCCACCAGCAACCCATCATGGAATACCCAGGTCCTAAACAATATGAGGTGAAAACGAAGCGCAAAACTTGAAGAAGTGAGAATGCAGTACGCAATACAGGGTTCCTTATGAATTCTTCTTGCTTCCCGATCGAGACAATCTGTGATCCACAGATTGTAGCTGGCCCCTGAGGTTCTGGTTTTCCTCAAGTAAACGGTCATACTCGAGCAGTAATCCTTCAGATTGCTTCCTTAGAGCAACTACATTGGCTTCAGAAGTACTTATATCTTTTGTCTTAGTCTCAAGTTCCAATTCCAACTGCTTGAGCTTTGTTTGCAGAGTGGTCCTCTCTTCTTCCAACGCTTTGATCTCCTCTGACTTGCTAACCTTCCCATCCTCCACCATTCTGCTCTGCTTTTTGATAGTTTCCATGCCTTTCCTCCGTATACGCAACTCTCTCATATAATGATGTAATCTATCAATCATAAGTGCCAGAAATAGAGAGCCCCCTGCAAGTAAATCGACCACCTAGTTCAGTAACCTTTTAAACTCACCATTGCTCGGATTGTAGCAAGAGAATTCAGCATTTAAAACCAATAGGTTCTCCGTTCTTGAAAGAAAGAAAAAGCTTTTGTAACCTAAGAAGAGAGCCACTAATTTACCATGTGAGGTGAGGACTTGGGGGTAGGGGGGGTGGTGACAATTTGATTAGCCTTGTGATATGTTTCCATTAACACCATAACCTGAACATGTTAACTTATAAACTGAAAGAAAAATATTGAATCCATATGTAAAAATACCTCTAACTTAATGCATTTCAGAGTCTTTCGCACCATTAGATATACTGTAATCTAATTACCCTTTCAGATAACTTGCCGAGAAAAATGAGAGGAACAGATTGATAACCAAAACAAATCAATTAAAGAAACACACACTTCCATGAACTAATTTTCATTAATGAAACAGTGACCAGGATCAAATTAATGAGCTAGGATACCACAGCACCAAATGAAATTACCGACAAGAGAAGACGTACTGCTCCTTTTACCCCATATACGCAATTCATATCAGCTTTCAGAAGCAAAGAAAATCAAATCAAATCAGCGCATTCCAATCATCCCAATTCCTCGACTATTCTCAAATAAATCAATTCCAGTCAAATCCACATCCAACAGAATTCAGGCACAGGAAAATCAATTGCTGGAAACGACTTGAAATCCAAACATGCAAGAAAACGGGAAGTTTCGGTTTACCCATAAGCGTGGCCTCGAGAAGGTGTTTGGCCATGAGAACCTGATCGGTAGGGTTGACAGCACCGTCATCGATCCAACGCTTCTGGATTGTCAGCATACTATAAACACTCGATATGAGAACAATAAGAACAGTCCCGGCGACGCTCTTGACCATAATTGGTCCGCGTCCGCGCTTCACCCGATCCACGGTCAAGATCACGAGCTTCCTCAATGGGGTCTTGAACGAGAACAACAATATGAGAACCATCTCCGTTACAATAACGGTGAACAATAGCTGAATCATTTGGAGAAGTAAAGTTGGGATTCAGAAGAGCAGGATTTGGAGATTATGGATCTTGGCGTTGGAGGGAACAGTGATGGGGTAGGATTTATGAGCGGCAAGGTGTGAATATCATGAGATGAGAGATGGGCTGTGTTGTGGAAGCAATGGAGGGAAGGTGGGCGTAATCACTGAGCACAAGAACAACGAACCTCGCGAGAACTGAAGCATTAATTTATGGATTTTAAAGAAGAAAATGGATGAAGAAGAAAAGTGGAGAGTTTAGAGTTTAGAGAGAGAGAGAGAATCAGAGAGCTCATGGCCTTCCACGTTCTACTTATTGGCTATTAAATTTGATACAATATAAAAAAGATATCAATAATATAGACATAGTAGTATTATTATTAATCATTTTAAATTTATTAGAAATTATAGAAATACCTTTTTTTTTCTTCCAATACAGTACGTGGGTGAAGATCGAATTCATAACCTCTTGATCGGAGACATATGCCAATTATAATTATGATCGTTTTTGGAAAATGATAGAAATGCTTATTTGCTCATTTATATTTTTTAATTTTATAACCTTTTAAAAACTATTTATCCACGTCTACATTATATTGATCAACATTTTGAGTCTTGTAATTTATTTTTTTGTCTAAAAGAAAATCCAAATCCAAATCCAAATGGGGTTTTCTAACCTTTGCAGGGTAAGAAAAAGTATATATTTTTAATTTTCGTAAGAAAAAGGTAAACAAAAATAAATCCCCGTAATGTATGGTTAATATTACTCAACTAGTTAAGATATATATTGCCAACTAAAAAGTAGTGAGTTTGAATCTTCACCACTACCTTTTGTATTCAAAAGTAGGTGTATTGAAACCAATATTTAGGTCCAAAATAGAAAAATCAAGATCTAGGTTATTCCTACTTATTATTTATGTTAATCAATTATTTACCAATGTAAAAATAAAATTACAATATTTTCAATAGTTTTTTAAAAAGAGCTAAATTTAAAATTACGTACAAATATTTTTAAACAATGTCCACCCATGAAAATTTCCCTAAAGTTTCATTTTGCCAATGAGTGATACAAATACAATAACACATTGTTGTAGAATGTAGATCACCTATTATAATTTAGAAGTTTCAAATAGTTTCAAATTGTTAAGACCAACATAGCTCAACGGAACATATATCTCCACCCAAGAGGTTGCGAGTTCAATCTCCCCACCCCCATATRTTGTACTCAAAAAGAAAAAAAAATTGAAACTTATAAGTTTTAAATTAAGCATTTAAAGTTTTCTTAAAATCAAGGCTACACTGGCTAAGGGAAGACATGATCCGATATAACTTGATCTAATAATTATACAAAGTCAATTAAAATATTTCATTGTAATAAAATAAATAAATACTATTTTTTTTTTTTWAAAAAAAAGGCCCCTTTTCCATCTATAAAGCTGGTTTTTGCTTAGTACTGAAGAGAGTGAGCATAAGGATCCAGCCAGAATATTTTTTTAGTTTTCATTTTCAAAATAAATTGACCAACTTGAATAGTAGAGTAGCTTAGAATAGGTGATAGGCTATAAGCTAAGGTAACACACATTTTTAGACTATAGTTTTCTGTCTCTCTCATTCAACTTTCTATTATTTATGTAACATTTAATAAATTGGATCTTTAGAAGGTTTAATAATTAATATAAAATAGTACGAACATAACTCAACTCGTTGAAGCACTAAAAAATGGTGATTTGGAATTTCCACCGCCACATATTGTTGTACCGAGAAAAGAAAAAATAATAATTAATATGGAGTAGTTAGTTAAGGAGGGAAGGGAAATGACACCAGCTTTTCTTCTGTATTCAAAAGTTGTGCAATTTAGAATTAGAAATGGTTCCTTCAGGGAAGTAGAGGCTTCTGAATTCTGATTGATTCCACAGACCATTTTGAATTTGAAAATTCATAAAGCTACCTGGATTTTACTATTTTATATACGTGCTCTAACCAGGAAATTTCCATGAAATTTGACCATTTACATAGAAACAAATAACTTAGGCCATTAATCAATCAGCACAAAAAATAAAGTAAATGTTAGCATTCAAAAAATATCTTGTTATGACCATAAAAACGCCATGCCTCGTTACAAATCTCGAAAAAAGAAAAAAAAAACTAATAAAAAGTACTAATTTTGATGAAAAATTATAGTTAGAAAGAAAAAGAGATTCCTATTTTTTTCCATAGTCTTCATGAAACATGGGTCCCTTTTTAATCCTACCCATCACCAATCTCCAACCACTAACACCAACCAGCAACGTTTAAATGCTCAATAATTACGATTGAGAAATTTCTCGTAACATCAAATTCAATCCAAAGTAATGCATAATCAAGAACAAGTCTAACATATCCCATAGTACCTAAAGATTCTACCATGACGAGTATATAACTGTTTTTGCAACAAATTAATGTTTCATTCTTCTCCGCTCTACCATAATTTACATCGTTTTGATTCTCGACTCTTATTATTTACGTATAACTATACTAGTAGCATTTTGTGCACATCTTGTTCGATGGATTTTGGCTAAGATGAAACCTAATCATATACATGATTATCATTACAATACAACCAATCATCTTAGTGACAATCTTCTTCGAATTTGTATTGCCTTGCTAAAAACTAACCTAGAGGGTGATGATTATAAGATCCATATGGTGATATTCAAACATTGGAGACAAATTCTTTTATACACTGCAAGCTAAACAGAAGTTGGTAATCAGTAATAACAATAAGCATAAATTTCACCTGCCATAGGACATTTCATATAATTCTAAGTTCACCTAAGATTTGATCAATGCCAAGGATCTTGCTCGGAGATTCAAAAATATTCCCCTGCAAACAAACAAATAATAGAAAAAGGCATTTTTAAGCAACTAAAGACCATAAAAGAACAATCGATTAATAATCTGATGTATCAAGCGGAAAAAGAAGCAAAGGAAGAACACATACCAAAAGAACGCAATCAGGCTATGGAAAACGACCCGCAGCTGCAGTGGTACGTACTGGTGATTTAACCAACCAACAATCGGCCAGAACTGAAAATTCATTGGTTCCATTAATATGAATAAATTCTGATGGATTCGGTGCAATGGCTGGTATGATCGCACTATAAATATAAATGAGTTGAAAAAGGAGGCAAAAGCTGATGAATGGGAAAAGGAAAATACCATCCATGCAGTTAGCTGAACCGAAGGAAAATCCTTTTTAACCTTAGCCTTCACATGGACCCAAGGCCTTCCTACATTTCAATTTTCAATAGACAGAAGAAAAGATCTTAAGATTTTCTAGTAACCATGAAAATCAAGTAACAATATTCAAATAGTGACTGATGTTATTTTTTAATCAATTTAGCCACCATCTTACATAGTTCCAGCACAAAGCAAATTTTTTTAACCTATACGATGTTCTCAAAAAGTAAAAGTTGGGATACATTATACATATCAGTGGGGCTTTCTATAACAGAAGCATGCTTAATTTTAGCAGCTAAAGTTACCAAGATCCCTTTTTTAATTTCCTTTTTCCATGTGACAACCATCAAACTACAGCTATTATTCAAAAAAATAAGAAGGTGCCTGGAAAATATATTAACTTTTAGCACAACATTTGCAACTTGTATTTCTTAGATGCCTGCTTTTTCAAAAGGATAGTTGCAAAATATACTCACTTTCAATAACCAATCCATAATAAACCAAGAAGACAAAGTGGTTCCAAGGAGAGGCTGTCAATTGTTCCAGCACCACCTGAGAACAATAACCAAATTAGGTCATATATAATGAGTCTTAACACTTTCACTTGAGAAATCCACCATTTGCCACCCCAACCTCCATATCTCGATTAGCTCATTTCAATACCAAATTTGTTGGAGCATTAGAACTTGATATTTGATAACATTTCTTGGAAAATTTCCTAGTATACCAGAACAAGCTTTCTTGATCATACCAATAGGTACCCAATAGGCTCCTTCAAACAGATGCTTCATGTGCAATGAAACGATTATTTAAATTATGTCCGTTGTTACGAAAACAATGTACAAATAAATAGAAATATGAGCTCACAATAGTACAACGCTGCCCCTAACCAATTACTCATCAATTCTGAGTACCAAAAGAAAGAACAAAAGGAAGTAACAAGTGGGCAGTATATACCTTCTTCGCAACAGTTTTTGAGTCTCTTTTCCCTTTGAAGATTTTATCCAGAATTTGGTGCAGATAATGGCCAAATGGTCCAAGGTAAACAGCTCCAAAAAGCTGCATTCAGAGCGAGAACCAACTTTTTTTTCTTTCAACAATACACCCAAATAAACAATTGATATGCAAATTCCAGCGGATACATTATACGCATAGTCCCAGAAAAGAGGAAGTTGTCAAATGGGCTTATTCAGAAGAGTGAATATTAATTCAAACAGTTATTCGCAACAAATGTATAGACTAATGACAGTGAATCTAGAGAAGAGAAGACAATACCACTTTGAGTATAAGTCGCTTGAACTGAAGTTTCTGTATGCCAGTAAGCTTCTGGGAAACCACATCGCTGATCCCAGACAATACTCCAGCTGTGATTATCTGATTTAACAAAAACAGACATCAAACAAAAGCGACTCAACTAGAATCAGCTTAAAAAATTGGAGGGCGGATGAGGGATATTTCAGCTTCCACTATGACCAGGAACTCACAGCAGACAATTTTCCATTAGGAAACATCTAAGTACAAGAAAGGGCAAAAAAGACGAAATCGTGAAAGCCTATATCACTGAAACCAAATTATGAATTTAAATAGGGAGATGATAGAAGAGGGAGTGAGTGAGTGACCTTGGTTCTCAAGGGATGCTGCTGAAGCTGCGAAACATACTTCTGGAGTCCCTTCTTCGCAACAGACCCCATTTTTTTCCTTCTTCAGCAATGGAAAAATGAGTCAACTCTCGGATTTCAACACTATGCTTCAAATCTTCATATCGTGTAGTCCGCTTCTCCAAAATATCTGGATCCTGAGTGGGCCCTTGGTGGCTAATTACCCAAAGAAGATGGAAAAGTATATTCTGCAAGAACCCAAGGTTAGAGATTTTCGCCAAGCATACTTGGCGTCTGTGACACGAACGTTTGCGAGTTTTAGAGACCGGCGATCGCGGTCAGTTGGGGCAGACGAACAAGCCCGGTCAAGAATGATCGTAACCGCCTACTTTTCCCTCATTTGACCCTGACCCAGCCCGTTAACTTTTTTTTTTCCTTGGGAGATATCAGATTTGGCTTTTTTTATTAGTATTATTATTATTATTTTTCAATTCAACCCCACGGGAAATTGAACTCCTCACTTCTCATCCATATATATTTAATTAATTGAAGTATATATTCTGATTCGTATTAGTTAGAACTTAATAACCCTTTCATTTCCAGTTCTATATTTTAAAAAATTGTGATTATTGGCTCATAGTTTCATTACATGTTTCAATTTTTCTTTTAACCTACATTTGAAAGTCAAACACGTTTAACTTTGAAGTTCTTATGATTGAGTTATCGAAAATGAATATGCAACCTTGTTAGTATAGGTAGTGACTATCATTTCTTTTAAGTCTTTCTCGATCATTCTTCCATGATCTCAGGATCCCTTTCATTCGGATGTGGTATCGGTTCATTTATGTACCCCTCATTTCTATTCAGACGTCACAATACCTTAAAATTTCTAAATTTTTAATTTTGTGTCTTAAAAATTATGTAGTAAGGATTGGTTTCATAGATTCCGTTTTTAGAACATTACACTTAATAAAGTTAATAATATACATCACAAGTTAGACATAACATTGAAAATTAATGACTCATTAGATTTTATTTTATTTTTGAGAAATCTTTTTAAAATATAGGAACTAAATATACATCACCTTGCAAATTTATAACCTAATAAAAATTGAAATCTAAGAAATTAATAGGCAACTTTGAAAGTTTAGAAATATAATTTAGCATAAGTTAATCAGTTTATTATTTCATGATATATTTTAATTCATAACTCAACTACTTATATTCGATCAGAGTTCGAATCACCTACTTCACTTATATTACAACAAAAATTTAAAAATAAATCAAGCTTAATTACTATTTTTAGAAAACCCCTCTGTAAGGGCAGTATTGTAATTTTTCAGTAAAAAAAATTGGAATCTTAGTTGGAAGGGTATTTTGGTCTTTTGAAAAGAAAAAAAAACATGGGACACGTGTGTAGTGTGAGGTTGGTGTGTGTGTGACGTGTTAAAAGAAAAAGAAAAGAATAGGAAAGGGAAAGGGGAGAAAACGAAGGAGAAAAAAAAAAAGAAGAGAAAAGAAAGAAATTCGAAATGGAAGGGGTTTTGGAGAAGAGAAGAGAGAGGGGGAGCGAGGGCTGAAAAAGATGGATAACTCAAGGTTGTTGAAAGGGAAGAAGAAGAAGCATTGTGATTGTAGAGCCAAAAGTTGAAATTTGGTAAGTTTTCTAGAGATTTAATAGGGAAATCCATGGAAGTATGGAACTCTTTAAGATTAGTATTTGTGGGTTTTCTTTTTAAGGAAATTCCTGGTTTTTGTGGGTATTATGCTCTGTTCATTCATCTCCCCGACTTCCTATGGGCATGGCTGAGAACAAAGTGTGATTGTGTGGTATTTGATTATTAAAAGAAAATAAGATTTTTTCTTTGTGGTTTACTCAAAATATGAAAGTTGTTTGAAAAATTGGTGATGTTATGTTGATTCAAGAATTGAGAATTTATGGTTTCAGAGAGCTGTGAGGAGTAAGGTGAGAAATAATAATTTTAGAGACTTGGGAAGAAGAAGTTGCAAAAAGAAAAAGAGAGGAAAAAAAAACAGAAGTTGGGACGAAGGAGGAAGATATCTGGTGTTGAAGAGAGAGAAAGAAATCAAGGAGAGAGGTAATTGATAAAATAAGATAAAAAATAATAATAATAAAAGGAAAGGGTATATTTGTGTGAGATGGAGTCTGAGAAAAAGAAATTGAATGAGTTTGGTGAGACCCACTTTGTAAGAAGGAAAAGTAGTGAATTTTAATGAAGAGAGAGAGAGTGAGTAAATTGGGTAATAGGATTATTTTGAAGTTATTATGATTAAAGTTTGAATTATGTTACAGTTTATGTTTTATATGTTGAAAAATAATCTAAATTAGTTTAGAAATTTAGAAAGAAATTGACTATAGACTTGGTAGATGGTTGAAGGTCCGTAGTCGGCACGACTTTTCTATAGTTAGTAGGTGTTTAGGGCGGGTCATGTCACCCTCCCTATATAAGGTAGGGCTACATCGGTCGGGTCGGTTATTGGGCAAAAATCGACGTCGACCGACCTACGATCGGTTTTCAAAAATAGAAACCAACCAACCGACCATATCACGTGCAATCGACCGACCGGATTGTCGGTTCAGTCGGTCATTTTCGTCAAATCGACAATTTTTTTGATTGGCGGAAGAATATCGAAAGCAAAAGGGCTGGTGGAGATCATAGGATTGAACAGCGGGTGGAGATCGGAGCAGAAGGTGGAGGGGTCGACGAGATAGGGGTTGGGTCGCACGGAAAAGCGAGGAGACTGAGGGTTAAGCTATGGTGAAGCGAGAAGACGAATTGATCGGAGAGAATCGAAAAGGTTAAGCGACGGTGAGGCGACAACAATCGAAACGGCGGCTGAAACCCTAAGCTAAAACCTAAAATGTTATATATAATACATACATATATATATATATATACATATACACACACATATATATATATTTTTTCTTTTTAAGGTATATATCTCGATCGGTTCAATCGGTTATGGTGGACTAAAGCTGATCGATCGACCGACCGAAAAAATTAGAATCTCCAAAATCAACAATCGACCGATGGGAGCCAAAACCGAACCAACGTCGGTTTCAATCGGTCGGGACGGTTTTGAGACCTCAAGTGTACACCCCTGGAAGGTAAGGTAATATGGCAAAGTGGTACTTTTACTTTATATTTATTTATTTATACGACCAATTGCTCGTAGTAGAAAATTAAATATAATTTACGATGGCATTTTTTAAACAGGAAATAAAGAAGAAAAAAAGGCCTTAACACAAGTATCCAAACACTCCGGGTGGAGCACCGGCGCAAAGTTTCAAAAGATCAAATACAAATTTTTCGATGGTCAATACGTTATAAGCTGAAATTTGAAATTTTTTATAGGAATTGTCGTATATGAACTATTTACATTAAGATTTCATAGATAATAGATTCATTCAACTTTTTTTTTCTAAAAAGATTTACCCAATGTAGCATCTTTGCAGCCGCATTTTCAAACTAAATCCAATTAAGTATAATTAATTTAATACCTTTTTTTTTAATTTTAAATTTCGATCTAATCGAGAGTATATATCATAACCAATTGAGCTATGTTCTGGTTAGTTAATCAATTCAATATAATACCTAAAGGCATGTTTTCGAATTCAAAGGTAATGTGTTCAGAACTCTACTATATGTGATCGTAAAAAAAGAAATTTCACCATGAATTTCTTAAAAATTAATTTGAATTTTAACAAAATCAACTTGAATTTTTTTTTTCCTTTGACTACTAATCAACTTGAATTTGTTAATTATAAAAGTACCTCTTTATACAATTATTAATCTATATCTATATTTTAATTTCCCCTCACTCAACCATTCTTTTAACTTTTTGTTCTCCAATTTGTTTAATTCAATACGTTAAAAATAGAAAAATAAATAATTATAAATACTATTATTTTTATATAAATTTTGATTGAGTGAGAAAGAAGCATATTTTTTGTAAACTATAGCAATATAACTAGAGATTTAAATCTTTCACCTATTAAATATTATATATTTATACTATGATATCATGACCATTAAGGTTAAATAATCATAAAAAAAATATCATCAATTTAGTCTCATTTTGACCGAGCATCTAAATATAATGTTACTTACATAAGTTAGATTTATACAAATTTATTATAATAAAAAATTGAAATTAAAAAACAAATTTTTATACTAAGAAAAACAATAAATTATCTCTTAACCAATTGACACGCTTGAGAATTGATAACGAGGGATAACCACAACAACTTAAAATACCGAAAAACCAACAAAATTCTAACGACGCTGACGTTTCAACTCGCGTGCCTACGTCCTGAAATTTTGCATGGACTTAATAAAATATCAAACTAATTCTCTACCACCCAAAAATTAAAAAAATCAAAAATCAAAATCAAACAAACAAAAACAAATCAAAGGTCAAACACGACTACCTGTACAACTACACGACGTCGTTTTGCTTGGAAGACCCAATCCAAGCGAGAAAATCTAATATTTAAATAACTTATTATTTGAGTGTTTTTAAAGTTTAGCCTTTATTGTTAATTTTTTTTTTTAATTTTACCCCTACGTTTGAACATCCTTTATTTATAAATTTTTCCTACATTGATGTTAAATCTTGTTTGATGCAATTTTGTCGTTACTGTTTATCATTTTTGATAAATTAAAATATTGATTTCAAATAAAGAAAAAAATTACTTGAAATTGATTTTTAGAATATCACTTAGGTGGTAATTTTGGAAAATCAATTATTAATCTGTTTTTTCAAAATCACCTCTTCCAACATCACTCCTAAATACATCTTTAATAATTTGGAAAGAAAGAATGATAAATTTTATATGGTTAGATGATCTAATTACTCTTCTAAATTTATGTCAAATTGTTAAGCCATAGTTAATATTTAATAACGAAAGTTGGTATGATTAAAAATAAATATTAAGAGAAATTTCACTTTGTAGCATGAATTTAATATTTATTTTAAAAAATGTAACATTTTTTTTGCAAAATGCCACTTTTCTTAGTATCTTTCTTGAGTTTGAGTTTGATTGGAATTATGTTATTTTTGTAAAATTTCAGACTTTCAATGTCACTGGAGGATTTATAATCAATGAATGAGAATCATAATGGTAGGAATAGAATCAATTAGTGTGATCCTAAGTTAAAATTTGTAAACACTCTTCCTAATCTCATTTCTATCCTACAACTTTATTACTTATTTAATGGGCCTCACACCTTTATAATTATTACTTTACAATTTTTATCATTTCAAATTCACAATTTTTTGGTCGAATATATACGTCATTATCCTCTTAACTATGCTCGCTATTTCATATTAAATGATAGTTGTTCTATAAAAAAAAATTAGTTTATGTAATTTTATTTTAATTATTTATTATTTATCAATATTAAATAAATTATTATAATAAAAAAAATATTTAATATCAATAAAATAAACTAAGATTTATATTTCAATAAAAAAGACTAGCATAATATAAATAAGAAAAAGTATACTAACAACTGTATTATATCTTATCATTTCGATTCAAGACAATTAATCAGATTGATTTTTATTACAACAAGTTTCCATTCCAAAGTAGCATAAGATGGAAATATTAATTTGTTCAAGAAAAGAAGGGGGAACGAGTCACGAGTCAGCCAGTGAGCCGAGTCAATTCAGGCCGGGCCGCTGGTCAACTTTTCTTCACATCTGACCCTCTTCTCAGTCCCTCCCTTAAATTCAATACATTATTTGGTCTATAAAAGAGCCACCATCAGGTAGCCTCCCACTCCAATTCAAAATCAAAACCCAACCACCAAATTCAAATTCAAATTCACCCCATTCCCATTCCCGTTCCTCTCTTTTTTTGTCTCCTCCCATGGCTTCCTTACAGGCTTTTTCATCTCTCCTCTCATTTTCTCCTTCTTCAAGAACAAAAAC